GATGCTACGGTGATATCCCCGTGGTAGACTTTTGGTTTCATAGTTGCAAATACTGATAGAGAAAGCACTTATGTGGTATTCGATTTTTAAGTATATATTGTGCGAACATAGTTCCGCGATTAATGTACGACTGGATGGAGCTTAGCCTTCCCGTATGGGTGAAGCGTAGATCGGATTTTTCCCTTTCTACATTTCACCGATAGGGACTCCGCATTATGAAGCATATGAGAGGCAGCGATCTGTGTGATGCTCGGATACGCTTACGCGGTAATCGTAGTTACGGAAGAGGAGTTTATTACGTCCGTGGTAGAAAGGACGCGCATTCCCAACATCCCGAGAAAGAAGGCAGAGATTCACAACCCGGTAAACCTCTTGCCAGCCAGGTCTTCGGTCAACACGCAGAGATCGCTCCGAGGTAGTCAGCGAGGAAACCAACAGAAGCGGAAAAGTTCATGATAGCTTGATCCGGACGCGACGCCAGGTGGAGGTCGGGAAAAACGACGAATCCACGGAGGTGCGGATTCTGACAGATGGATTTGACGACACCGATTTCTTCACAGTAATAGGAAGTTAACGGTGCGCGACCGGCCGGCCCATCGTCGCGACGTTCGTCAACCCGCCAGGCGCGATGCTAGCTCATGCTCATCTGTCAGCCACCGCTGACGATCGGGCCTGACAGGTCAGAATGTTCGACGACGACAGGGGACCCGGAACCGAGTAGCGGAGCCGCGATTCGTCTACCGGAGGAGAGGCATCGTTAGTCCATGGATGGATTTGGCCAGAAGGGAGACAGACGGCGAGAAAAGAGCTCGCCCACTGGGAGGACGGCTGTTCACACGGTACGGGGTTTTTTGGGCTGCCGAGGCAGCTTCCGGCCGATTGCGGGCAGGGGGAGAACGGGAAGAGGCTTTTGTCCGATTCGGGCGATGCTGGAAAGGTAAGGGAGCGGATGCCAACTGGGCCTCGCCCTCGATAGAACAAAATCCAGGCGTCCGTGCTGCGATTCGACCAGCCGACGGACGCGTCATCATCGCGACGCGCATTCCGCTGCGTACACTTTAGCGCCATTCAAAAGTCAAGCGAGCTCGCGGTAGGGGAACTGGCAGGCACTACGGAGCGAGATGGCTCGAGTATTGTATTATTAGCCATCATGCAGCTCGCCCGTTCGTGTCCGACGGACCTCGAGCTGCGACATTATCCTCAAATAAACGACCGGTGCGCATTTCATTAATTGGAGGCGTTTGCGGGCAGGTTTGCGGTCGCGAATTTCGGCCTCCACACCAACCGCCTCCGTGCCCACGAATGCGACTGACCACCCTCGCCTACCGTTTGGCAAAATATATCCACTTGGTCTACTGTGATGAAGGACGTGATGGCCCACCGACTGTGGTAGTCCGCCCCTGGCTGGCATCTACTCTCGGTTCTTGACCCGCTCTCGCATCCCGGACGCATTTGCTCCGCCAAGTTAGTGCTTTGCGACTTTGAGCGGAAACGTGATGCTTTTTCATGCAGTTTGACCGGAAACTTGTGGAGCTCTGCACACCAGCTGCAGCGCTTTACTAAACCCAGCTCGTTTGCTCGCACTGTTGAGCTTTCTGGGGTTGGGCCTCACTCGAAAATTCCTAAATCTTCCTAAATCTTGGATGATCCAGTCAATGCCTGCTGACATTGTTAGGTGTAGTTACTCCTTTCGACCATGCCTTCTGCCGGGACCGAAGAACCACAGGACATACTATAATTTGTTGAGATTTGTCCAGTCAGGAAGGTAATCGCTCAGTTTCCATGAACCTACTCCATCTAAAAGTGTGTAGCTTATTGTGGTTACTGTAAGTAATGGGTTGCCATAATTTATAGCATGATTTACATGTTGCAATTTTATACATGTTTACTAGAAGTGATCATTTAAGCTGATGCATCTCAGTTCTAAGATGCCTTTTATGTTTTTTTTACCCATATTAGTTTTTATAATTTAAAATGGTAATATTTCGTTTAGGATTCGTTTCTCTATCGACATATTCAAGACTCATGTGTGAATCTTACTCCATTTCATATCAGTGAGTCACATGAGTGTAGAGTCAAAACACGAGAATAAACAAAGCAAAAGCAGGGAAATATCAGCACAAGAAATTCTTTTTTTTGATCCTGGCGCAAGGCGAAACCATCAAGCCGCTTTGTGGCCTGATGGATTTCAAGCCCAAGTCTTGAAAGGAGAAGCCCGTAGGATCTCCCTGTCGAGTCTGTCGAGGTATAAATTGGTCAGGATGGGAGATATAAGGCTTCCCTGAGGAACCCCGGGGCCTCCCGATTCACTTAGGACCTCTCAGGTCCTAAGTGAATCGGCATCTAGTATGTCATACGATGCTTCATCGAATTGAGTACAATTCTTGATTGAACCTTCCATTATACTAATTCCTTTTTGTTTTTGGAGAAATAATCCAGAAGTACGTGGTTCACACACTGGGGTTACGTCCACGGGAAACTAACTGATTATTAAGTTTCAAAGCAAATGACATACAAGTACTTATAGCCGGCAGCCAAACCCAAGGGCAACGTTAACTCAACTAACTCGAGTTAAGCAGGAACTAAAGTTAAGCCGAAATTGGAGTTAAACCTAACAATGAGTCGTTTTTTATTTTATCTACTCATAAAGTCATTAAAGTAACAACCCTGCCACACTCACTCTCCATAACTAGTGAATGCGGATAACTACCAGGTTATGGTTTGCAGTCCACTGGTTTGAGGTTGGTACAGAATATACTTGTTTGGGATGTACTATGTTATTATTGTAAGCTTTAGTTGTTGCAATGTACCAATGATTGTACTGAGATCACCTGACATTGATTAAAACACAAGTGAACAAAACATGGTACCTAAACTAGATCAACCAATAACGCAAGAAGTTCGATGCACTCTCTTGCATGATACAGCAGTCATTTTTGTGTATCTCACAGTGAGAATACACCAAAATTCACATTCCGAGCTCTTTAACACTCAAACGTCCGAGTGAGAGAAGACTTAGCATAACCTTAGTAAAATACTTAAAGGCTTTAGTTGTTGCAATCCACTCTCTTTCAATGTCAGGTGATAATCCTTTGGACGCTCTTGCTGTGTTTATACATTACTAAATATGAGGTGAAGTATGACATATCTCACATAGTGATTATGTTGAGGCATGAACCCAAGTTGCCACCTTGCGATTTCACCCTTGTATGGCTCGATGGGGTACCTGGATCATTTGTTATACAACTCCGTCCCCCAGGCTTACATGTTGAACAGATGTCTGTATCTTATGGAAGCAATCTGACCACGAGATTTGCTGTGCATTCAAAAGCCGGGCGAAGAAGAACTTGTAGTTTCTCGCTTGTGTGATGCACATCGGCGAGTACCTTGTCCAAAGTAGGAGGCCGATTGCAACCTCATCGTCTCGAGGAGCAGAAGCCACCGGTCGATATTGGAACGAGCGAAGCATTGCGTTTCGCCACACAGTTCGCACGATAGGAAATCTCGTCACAAAACGTTCCACATGCCATCCAGATTAAACATAAGGGGCATGTGAGTAGAGATGAGATAGGCGAGGCGAGGACTGGCATATGCGAAGCCCCAAGTGCTGCTTCTGTTTGCCTTTCGTCTTATTGAATTAGGACATGACCTTCCTGAGGCGAAGGAGCAAATCTAGGATGATCCCATTTACACCCTGTAATGTTAATTGCCGCTTTCCCCACGTAAATAACGACGTTCGAACAGTCGAGAGTGGCGCATACAGTACTGTTGGAAGATACTGAGGGGGGCAAGCCAGGGCCCACTCGGTGCCGATTCCGATAACCAATATTTTAATCGACTGCGTTTCGAGCATCAGTGCCCCCTTGCTTGACCTAAAAGGCTGCGAGGGAGCATGTGGGGGGAGCAAATTCAGGACTCATTCCCAGCCCTTGAATGTGTCGACCCTCCAACTCACTCACACTCACGACGTGTCCTGGCTTCATTCTGCTATCCGAACGGGCCGCATCAGTGCTCCGTCCGTCTCGACGGACATGGCCATAGTTTCAGAAGATCCATGGACCAGCTTGTCCTTCTGGCCTGGAAAGTTGCTCGGTCGATCACCGGAGGAGTGCTATGGAAGAGTTCCGAAGCGATGATTCGGAGCATCAGCACGAGACATAACTTGCGACTAAAACAACTCCTCCACAACAATCCACATAAACAAAAGCCAAAATGCCAAAATGCCAAAATGCCAAAATGGGCGAGCGCGCGCGCGACTGGAGTTTTGTTCTGTTGCGAGTCATGCGGGCTCGAAGGCCACACGACAAACAGGACAGAAAGACGTTGGGGCGGGGCTGGGTCCAGAACATGTGGCCGCGTCGAAGGAGAAAGGCCCCGCCCGCCCATGGCTCCGCCTCGAGGCCCGGCCAAATCGGGAATTCGAACGGGTCGATCAGTCGCCACTGCTCTAAAGGAGGAAACATTCCGTAAAGCGAAAGGAGAGCGACAGAAAGCGAAAAACGAGACGAGTCGAGGGAGGGAGGGAGGGAGGGAGGGAGGGACCGTTTCGTGGGTGAATTTCAAACTTCCCGAGTGGACGGGGCGGAGAGATGTCCGTTGGGTCCCGTTGGCACGGAAGGGAGGGCAGGACTAACGGGCAAGCGGCCCGACGGAGAAGTGGGATTATTCACAGGGCTCGGAAAGCGCTAGAGGAGGAGAAGGAGGACGCCGTCGACGACGACATGGTTCGGTCGTCGCGCACGACGTACACGAAAGAGTGTGCGGCTACGCTCACGTGGTGGACGAGCGAGAGGACCGGGCCATCGCCATTCGGCCACTCCTACGTGGTACCGTACAGGGTGAACGCGGTGGAGCACGGCACCCACCCGGCCGGTCCCGCCCCGACCGGAGCGAGGGAGGGAGGGAGGCCAAGTGCGATTCCGGGGGAAGGGGGCGCAGAGATCGGTGGAGACGGAGGTTGAGGTTCTAAATCCCAGACAGGGATTGCGAGAGTCCGAGTGAGTGAGTGAGCGTGTGAGTGTGAGAGTGAGGGAGCGAGAGGGGTCTCTTCTTTGGAGTCGGTAGCGCTGGGCGCTCGCTTGCTCTGTCGAGTAGTGAGCTGGTGTCTTTCTGCTGCTGCCACCCCCAACATCTTATAGACGACTGACCACCAGTCCCATCAGCAGTAGAGCAGGACGACGAAGAGGAAGGGAGGAAGGAAGAGAGAGAGAGAGAGAGAGGGAGAGGTGACAGAGGAGGAGGAAGAGAGGGTAGTAGGAGGAGGTAGGGAACAGGAGTTCTAGTTCTGCCGTCGGGGCAGAATAAGAACGAAGAAGAAGAAGAAGATTGCCGATTACGATTGAGACTTATTTGTTGGTTTATGTGTTTGTTTGCAAGTCTGGTCGGTGAATTTGGTCGAGCCGAGCCGAGCCGAGAGGAAAACAACAGTGGGCGCTGACGCTGAATGATGAGTTTGCAACGGCATAGCAAGGACGGAAGAGACTGGGAGTAGTAGTGTTCAGCACTACAGCCCTCGCTCGCTTGCGTTGAACGACGAGCTCTGCTCGTGTGTGATACTCAGACAGACACACGGATAGATACATACACACATTCACAGCTATAGCTAGATCGGGTGGAAGCGTATCGAATGGTGGCCCACTGAGCTGGATCATGGCGCGCGAGCCCCGCCTTCTCTGAGCTCATTCGGACAGTATCCGTGGACACAGAGGAGCCTCAGCCCATCAGTCGGTCAGCCACTGAAGTAACTGGACGAGGACGAGGACGAGGAGGCAACAGGAGAAGCAAGGGCCGAGTGGACAGCAGAGAGGAGTGCACGAGGATGAGATTCAGGCTTTGAGTCTGCGTCTTTCTCTGTCTCTCTGATTTCAATCTAGTACCGGCTGATTGTGCAGGCGTCGAGTGGATTGGCGAGATAGGTAGGTAGATAGATAGATAGATTGATAAACAGACAGACATACCGATAGATAGTTAGCTAACGATGATAACGATGAAGAGTAGAATGCTTGGCCGGCGGGGGCTGCCGCTGCTCGTGGCGATGTGGAGTGTGTGGGCGATGGCGATGGCGAGCCTGGGGAATGCGCAGACGACGACGACCAACGGCACCAAGGCGCCGGCGCCCGCGACGCCCCCCAGCCCGCCGGTGGTGGCCGCGCCGCCCGCGCCGCCGCCCCTGTCGCCCATGGAGGCGTCGGCGATGGACGCGTGCACGGGAGTGTTCTTACAGTACCAATTCATGGGGACGCCGCTGAAAATCTACCCGTTCATGGACAACACGAGCACGTTGCTGCAGCCTTACAGATTCGAGAGCGAGGTGACGCTGACCAACACCGGGTTCTCCAACGTGCTGGGCTGGGAGGTGTTCGTCGGGTTCCAGCACGGGGAGATCATCGCCGATGCGCCGGGCGTGCTCTTCGTGGACGGCGAGTCGACGCCGGGCGTGTTCGCCGGCAATGGCACCACCGTCATGGGCACGGACCAACCGGACTTGAAAAACTCCATCGACACGGCCATGGATTTGGACTTGATTTCTGCCAGCTTCAGCTTCACCGGCACCGAGTTCGGCGTGGCCGACCCCGACGTTCCCATGCCGAAGAACATCAGCCTTCTGAATCCCGGCTGGGAGTGCGGCCCCATGGGCACCGATTCCTGTAAGTCCCTCTGACCCCGATGAACGTTGTGATTTTGAATTTTGGCAATGCGATCTCGATCGATCGCGCTCGATCGATGGATCCGCCGTCGCAATTGCCGATTTCCGTCGATGTTGAGGATGTGAGGAATTCGAGGAATTTAACGAATTTGAGGATTTGGAGGAATGTGAGGAATGTGGGTGGATTGCGGGAGTTCTGACGAGAGGATGGGGATGTGCAGCCGGGACGACGGCGGGGCGGTCGATGTGGACGTGCTGCGCCGAGAACGTGACGGCGATAAACACGACGGCGAAGGACTCGGGGTTCCTGCCGCGGGCGTCGGGCGACGTGGTGATGTACTACGACGTGTTCCAGACGTTCGGGGACAACTACTGGGCCAAGGTGAGCATCTCGATGGAGGACCCGCTGGGGCGCATCGACCACTGGAACCTGACCTGGGACTGGCGCCAGGGCGAGTTCATCTTCGCCATGAAGGGCGCGCAGATCCTGGGCCCGCAGGAGCAGGACAAGTGCGTGCTGGGCAAGGCCGGGCAGTACTACGCCAGCATGGACTTCTCGCAGGTCATGAGTTGCTCGGCGTCGCCTACCATAGTCGACCTGCCGCAGGACCAGAAGGACAACCCGGCCGTGGCCGTGCCCAACTGCTGCCGCAACGGCACGCTGCTGCCGGAGCTGGTGGACGCGTCGCAGACCAAGTCGGAGTTCCAGGTGCAGGTGTACAAGCTGCCGCCGAACCTGGACCGCGACGAGATCCAGCCGCCGGTGAACTGGAACATCGGCGAGGGCTACCAGTGCAGTCAACCGCGCGCGGTGTCGCCGTCGGAGTTCTCGCCCGACAACATCCACTCGCAGTCGGCCGTCAAGAGCTGGCAGGTGGTGTGCAACAAGACCGAGACCAAGGCCAAGAAGTGCTGCGTCTCGTTCAGCACCTTCTACAACGACTCGGTGGTGCCGTGCCCGACCTGCGCCTGCGGCTGCGCCTCCAACACCTTCCCGTGGAACGGGCAGAAGTGCAACCCGGACATCGACCCCATGTTCCTGCCCTACAACGGCGTGCTGCTGCCGCCGTCCAACCGCACGGCGCTGGGCCTGCAGTTAGCCAAGCTCGACCACTACTCGGTGCCCACCGACGTGCAGGCCTGCCCGGACAACTGCGGCGTGGCCATCAACTGGCACATCTACTCGGACTACGTCGACGGCTGGAGCGCGCGCATCACGCTCTTCAACTGGGACAAGACGTCCGTCCCGAAGTGGTTCTCGGCCATCGAGCTGGAGAAGGCCATGCCGGGCTACCAAAACGTCTACTCGTTCAACGGCACGATCATGCCGGACCTGAACGACGCGCTGCTCATGCAGGGCCACTTCGGCTACGACAACGACTACCTGCTGGCCATCGACCCCAAGGACAACCCCGGCAAGCTGCAGTCGCTCATGTCCTTCGACAAGCGCAAGACGCCCGGCATCAACGTGGTCAAGGGCGACGGCTTCCCCACCAAGGTCTGGTTCAACGGCGACGAGTGCGCCATCCCCTCCTACTTCCCCACCGGCGCCGCGGCCTGGCAGGCGCGCCCCTCGCTGCGCCTCTCGCTCGGCGCGCTCGTGCTGGCCCTGGCGCTGCTCGTCGGGGGCCGCGACTTGTTGTGACTGTTGTGACGGACGCTTTCGTATGGGGCCGATTGTACAATTGAGAATAGCTAGCTAGGCTGTAATTTTAGAGGTAATGTTGGAATGCAGAAGACTTAATGATTCTTTGGGCGGAGTTCGCCTTGGGGCGAACCCGCCCCCGCTAAGCTAGTAGACAGGAGGGCGAGGCCCTTAGAGCCGCCCGCGCGAGTTTGTTCCAGCACTGCGAAGCGGTGGTGGCTGGGAGGCGACGTCCCGAGGTCGCGCGCCGAGCGACGGGGTCGTTCGATTTCCACAATTTTGAGTCGCGTGCCATTTCCGAGGACCGGCTGGACGGAGAAATCCTCCGTCTGTTCGGCGGTGCACTTCGCAGCATAATCTGCCCACGGACCCGCCCGAGGACGACCACCCGCCGCCACCATCGTCCGCCGTGCCGGTTAACATCACCCAATCTTAGTTGGACCGCGGAGGCCGGACTGGGATCCGGCAACAACGACCGCTGTTGCGGCCCTCGCCGGCCTCCGGGCCTCGTCATTACGGAGGACATCGACTGCGCTTTGGTTTCCGGACCACGCCCGCAGGCCCGGCCGGGTCCGGATGCGCCAGCTCTGCGGCGCCTGTGCCCAGAGCAGCTAGAGTCGTAGTTAGCGTGCGCTGTGACCCGGCGTGCATCACGATCGTTCTCGTCGTACTTTGTATCTCTTCGTCCTGACACCAAATTCGAACGGAATTCCACCAGTTTTACTATTCATGCACTTCTCTTCGTGATTTCTGTGCCCTCGTCGTGTCGTGTCGTGCAGTTTGATTTGCTTTTCCGCTTTCTCGCTCGCACACGTTCCGTTCCCCTTCTTGGTCGTAAGTCAGTCAACTTCCTCTTCGCGGCTCTGTTGAAATGGGATCTGAAATGGCTCTGAGAATGGCGGCGTGGTTTAAGTCGTCCTACATTGCATGCGTCTCTTCCCCTTGTCTTTGCGCTCAGATCGAGCGCGCGAAGTGGACGACGATTCGACCTTTCAAAAATGTCACGATGGTCGTGGACATATCGGGACCAACGCAGAGACTCCGATTACGAGTTCGGAGTGAGAATCGAGCGAGTTCTTGCGGTGTACCTTCGATTCTCTCGTTTTTCTACCCAAGCCAGCGCAATGTGCGCGTCTTGGTGGCAGCAGAAACAGCTCGCGCTAATCCCGCCATTCTCAATGTTACGAAAAGAGCGAGCGAAACCGATGGAACTAATGTGCATAGTAAGCAGCAGATTCTTCCCTGAGAATTTGGCACATCTGTGCAAGAAGTAAGTCCGTGCCGTGCCAGTGGGGGCGGCTCGTCACTAAGGGCTCCCTTTCGGGGCAACGCGAGCTCTGCCCGCCCGGGCCCGATGCTAGGCGGTCCGCGGCCCGTGGCCCGTGGCCCGCAGCCCGACCTCCCGCTTCGACCAGGGAGGGCCGCCCCGCTCCCGGGTTTAGGAGTTCCGGGGAGGCCGTAGTGGCGAGGGTCGTTGCACCAGTGTAATGTCCAGTGAATGTTCTCAGTTTGCACCGGAACCTTACGAGCCATTCAAACCAGTTCAAGGAGAACTCTCTGGGGCTTGTCTCTGTCCTGGGAGAAAAGCTTTGGAATCTCGGGACAGGGCATGTTCGGAAGAATACGTGCGGCTAACCAAAGCCGTTTTTGATTCTACCAAGATAAATTTTCGTAAGCTTCCCAAAGTCACTTGTGAGAGTTTGTACTAAAAGAAATTGATAGAAAGTAGCAAATTTTACTTTTTGCAAAAATTATGACAACGAGATTTTTGTAAAATAAAATTTATGATTTGAGTTTTTTCATTGATTTTATTATTATTTTGAAATTTTGCGTTTGTGTAATGATTCTCCATCATGATAATACATGAATAAACTTATTTAAATGTAAAAATTGAAGAGAAATGAAAAAAAAAGTGATTTGGAAAAATAAAGACTTAGTTTTTTTTTGGAAAAGAAGAAGGGAGACAACCAACACACTCACAGTTTCGTGAGGGGAAGAGAGGAAAAGTAAATTACAAGTTCCCTGCGGGGGAAGGGAGGCCGCGAGGGAGGAGCCCGGCGGCCCTCCCTGGTCGAAGCGGGAGGTCGGGTTGCGGGCTAGGGACCGGCTGGCATCGGTGACCCCGAAAGTGGGGAACCCTTAGTGACGAGGGGGGCGACGGGGAACCCGAAGCCAGATGCAAATGCGCCGGTACAAAAAGAGAAAAACCGGGCTCGAGGTCCGCAGGTGATGACACAGCCGAGCACACCACGCACCATGTCGCTTCGCTCTGCACACTGACGCCGAAGACAGTGCCGGCCGAGCTCAGCGTAAGAGTTCGGAGGAAGCTTCAAACGTCACGAGTTCGTTTTCTTTTCTTCAAAACTCGACGTAAGTAAAGCAATGAATGTTTTGATTTTCTAGTTTCTTGTAGCTGGCGTGGTGCATCGAAGAGAAGAGGCAAGTCCCATCGATCGATCTGGTCATATTCATCGTGACAAGGACATGATTTTATATTCATGCAGCTATCCACTTGTCTTTTGTTTGTTCGTTTGTACCGGACATGAGTTGGCAAATGAGAGAGTAACTCTCTGGCCGGCCGTAGGGAGAGACATCCAGAAACACAAGAAGACCCGCACTCTAGGTCTGAACAAGTTTACGCAGCTCTGGGGGCGCCCAAAATCAGCTAACTGAAGTGTAGGGATCACGTGGCCACGCGCACAAGTTCGAAGCTGGGCACAGTGCCGAATCGGCGAGGGCCCAATTTCCTCGTTCGTTTACAAGATGCGCTCGCTGTGTATAAATAGAAAAGAAATGTGGAAAATGCCTCTGGCCTGTGAGTGGTACCAGCGAGACTCGTAACATGAAGTCATGACGACATTCACCCACCGCTACCACCCAATCCTCTACCCGCTGTCCCGAGCGAGTGACAGGAGGGCTCCCTTCGAAAGACGAACGAGCTATCTGTCTGTCGACTTGGATCTATGGCACGGCATCTCAACTGGGGTTTCGGACAGTACGGCGTAAGTGATTTTGGCCTTCCAGATCAGCAAATCGATCATACCGTATGACTATAATAACCATGGTTATTATAGTCACTCGCCTAAATTAACTAAATAAGGTTAGTCGACTCAAGAAAATTAATTTAGGTTAATTTAGTAGCTTTGGTACTAAAGGTCGATTAAATACATTTGAGAGGAAGTGAGGGTTCGGAGGAAGAGAGAATCACAGTCGGAGCTTGCGCTCGAGCTGAGAGTCTCGTGTGGGCGAGAGAATTAAACTTACAAATTTCGGATTGTACCACAGAGGTAAACTATGAGACCGACTTGGCAAGAATTTAATTCACAATCGAAACCTCCCACGTTCCAGTTCCGAGCCAATCAAAGACTAGATGCTAGGGTTAATTTAGGGGCTAGAGTGAGCACCACTTTAGTTGATTTAGTCGCCTCGTTATAAGATCGCCTAAACTAATCATGCTTCATTATATGCATCTTCTTTAGAAATCACCCACAAGCTATGGGTAGAACTCGTGAACCTCCACTTGGATGATGGGCTAGGTTCCATTGGCGATTGGAACTATTTGGAGAAAATTACTTGATGGTCGAAGGTTTGTGTTACATGGCTCTCGAAGAGAGTATTTATTTGGTGGGACCATCCGAATCTAAATTGCTTGATGGTACCATCAAGTTTAGTTTTATCTAATGTGACCCCCATCGATAACTTACCGTTATCAAATTCTGAAAAGTGATTTGTTATCTCAAATCTCAGAACCATAAATTGTGACATGATGGGAATCCATCGATAGCACACTTCTGAACATGATGTCAACTTCTGAAAGTTGTTCCTATATACTAAAGTTTGCATCATATACAAACTATAGCAAATCTCATAACTATAAATTGTTACAGACATTGTCACAAGTGCAAAGAGGTTTAGATTTTGAGTTATTAGAAATTAGACTCGATGAGCAACAGTAGTAGACGCGTGGAATCTGTGGAGTAAATTCACAAGGAAAGGAACGGAAGGACTGGTGATTCCCCATTGCACAAAAAATTTAATCGGGTGCAATGGGGAAATGTCGGACAAAGTTTGCGCTAAGAGGAAACTTGAGCGATTCAATGAGGACGAAGAGAAGGTCTCGTTGTCACATTTCCACGACTTGCAATGTCTGTCCATACTAGATCATGCATGAGTGTACCTTGGGGGGTTCCCATCAAGTAAATACTTCCCTTGGAGTATACATCAAATGTTTTGTGTTTCCGTGGGTTCCATAAGTGATTTTGTTATACCATAGTATAAAATAAATCTGTTGTGCTTTTCCCATGGTCCACCAATTAATATTCTTAAGTATGTAACATGTATCTACCATTATCTACATCAGCCTTTTGACCCTTTGGGTCCCACGGGCTTGATCCATTTACCATATAAAATAAGATATTACTTCATCGTGATTGCACCATTGAAAATGATGCGTGATCAAGTATGGACAAGGTTATCATTTCGCAAACATAATTAAAATATAGAGTTAGTTTTTATAGCTCATTTTGGGCTAATTTTGAACAAAATCTTTCAGATGACGAGTTTCAGTTATTCTTCATGGTATTTTATTGTAGGTATAAAAAACTTATATTCTTTTCTTAAAACCAAAAATTCTAAACAATTTTTACAATTTTGATGTATCATATTATGATGACAGGTTTTACAAGGGTTTTACCTTCATCATAATGTCGTTAATAAATAAAGATATATTTACAGATACATTATTCCATTATGAAATTTTTTATTGTCTTGCATACAATCTATTTTGCTCAAAGTGCTTGAAGATCGAGTTAATAAATCTCAAAATTTAATTTATAACACATATTCTCGTCTACACTTTTCAGATTAGTTTCATGAAACCTTGAGCGTTAGCTTAATTGTTTAACTCTGTTATTATCATTAATCATTAATCCATATTCTCATTACAATGCTGTTCATCACAGTAGCCTCGGCAGATTTGGGATAAATGTTCCCGTGTTTCTATAGGATGGAGTGTTAAACTTATTCAGGCATGTGACATTTCATCCTTCAACAGCCACTTATGTTGATTCTAAAGTTTCGCTCTTAAGTTATGAAATTTAGCTCATACTAGATACGTGATTTTTCTTCAGTAAAACTGGCAGCTTAGTACCTATCCAAGTTATTAAAATAATGACTTTTCAAGCTGGCAACTGATAACAAGGTGAGAAAGGAGAAAAATACAGTACTGCGTCATCACGATAAGAATGAGAGTACGCAAACAACGAATTTCTTCATATAAGGAGAGAACACAACCACCCAGAGTAAGACATGGGCAAATCTGAATTTTGTTCTGATATATTCCCTACTAGAATACAAGTTGTCCAACATCTGTTGAAGGCTACAGTGGCGGTAGTGGACGAAAACTATATTCTTCAAGTGAGCAATCGAAGGTCGCACATGACTCGATGGTTTGGAAAAAATGCTTTGGCACCATATAGAGGACAGGAGGATTCGAGGGAGAGGCTGGCCGAAGACTCGGCTTGTTTCTCGGAGATGATTCTCAGCGAGCAGGTCTTTCACAGAACGTTCTAACATTTATCATGTACGACAAGATCAGGTGCCCTCCATGGCTCCAAACTCCATTAACCTGATCCATCTACATAAACTTACAGCCATCCTGAAAACATACTCCGGCCACAGACTCGCACTTCTGGTCGACTCTGTTGAAAGCTAAACTCGGACGCACATCGTTTCTACTGTAACTTGTAACCAAGTTAGGACCTATCTAACATTAAGGGTACTGTCTACATTGATAGCAAAGGGTACAAAATTTGAGCTTGCCTGCAAGATAAGCATGACAACTGGGAATAGGACAGGATTTGAGAGGACACTGCACAACGTATCTACAGGGGTCCGTACTTGATCATTCAATAAGTAAAAACCAGAAGGAAAGTACATATGGTGAAGATTTTACACCTCAATCGCACATAACCCTCTTACAATTGCATTGGTAGACAACCGAGTCTTGCCCCAGCCACAAACGGCCCTTGTCATGAGATCTGAATTTCGTTCGCCATGTCAGTATGAGGAACAAAGACGTCGGTTCGTCACTTTCACAAACATCCGACATCTCTTGAGTCATTTGTATGAAATAAAAACCACTGAGAATCCAAGTATTCTTCCACTAATAATCCAAGTAATCTTTCTAGTCGATGGTAGGCAACAGCACACAACATGAGACACATACAAGTGCTGCAAAAAAGAGGGCAGGGGGAAAGCCCGCAGGCCCGCCCCTACGACGTCCACCACCCCCACCGTTGCCCCCGGTTGTTCCAGGGGGCTTACTAGAAAGCCTTCGTTTATACCTCTTCAACACTGAAGCCAGATTTTCCTTCCCTTTTGGGAATGCTATATCTCCAGCAGCCGTACCTGTTCGCCCTTTTCGAGAACCAACAGCTGCTTCCACCTCTTTAATCCTCTCTAAAAATATCGAGGCACTCGCACCCTTCCCCTTAGTAGTACTTGTGTTACGGCCCCAGGGCCATGGATGTGGGTAGCTCGGATTAGCGGAGCTTACAAAATCCCCATTGCCATAGTCGCGGAGACTTCCTTGTCTACTAAGAGAAGTTCTGCGTTTGATACCATCAAACAACACCGGATCATTTATACACCTACAAAGTGGGGGCACAAACCGCGGTTTTGAAAATGCAGGCTCTAAGATACCCTGCACAAACAGGACGTAGATATTCAGTTACCACCTGCCAACCGCAGAACGAGATCCGATTGGTTCTACGCTGAGAGTCGTTGCCTGTCCTAATCATTACGTAACAACAAATTAAACTATATTGCTAACAAGAGCCCTCAAAAGAATGCTTGGCTCATGGCTTCAAAGAATCAGAGGTAGAAAACAGGCGGATCAGATTGAATATTATGACAAGCTTCACATCTTAAAGGAAAACTTCTCGCGCTTGAAGGGGGACACATCAAATTAAAAATATGACCAAATTTTCCCTCTGCATCAATGTCTTCTAGCAAGAAGAAACTGATGTATACAACTTCCCGAGTAGAGCATTTGGATACATATACCGCTGTTAAACCTAGTGTAGAAACTGGATGAGAGAACCATTACACATAAGACAAGATTATGTCCTCACCTGAAGCCTGTTCAGCACAAATGTGTACTTGCCCCACAACTCTGGTCGACTTTCCATAAGTGACAGTTCCAGTACCCGATGCACACACCATAAACCAAAGCTTATGAGCAGCGACTTGTTCCACACACAAGCTTCGCCACAATTAGGAATAGGGTTATGCACTTTGGAGGGGTTAAGAAAATCATTGCTTCCTTTGTGAGAGCGCATGTGACTCTCCCAAACATGCGGTTCCATCGTCCCGAACAACCTATATGAGTCCTGCTTTTCAGCCTCCATGGTCGTTCGCTGCAAGGCAGCTATGGCTGCAATAAGATCCTCATCAGCTCCGTTATCGGGGCGGAAAAGCCAGTCAGACCCTTCCAGCCTTAATAGCTTGCCAATGCAAGCTCGGAGGTTCTCAAGGACCTCAACTTCAGGATCCACGACATTCGACACCGGCGCGCCTGAGACAGGCGTAGGCAGTGGTCGGCCATTACTCTTCCGCCCAGGTATTTGCGGAGTAGCCCCAGTAGCATCGGTACTACCAAATAATTGTTCGAAAGGTTGTCTGGACCATAAAGAATGAGCTTCAGGTCGAGAGGCCGACGTTTGGATAGAGAAACCATCCCTGTGTGATTGAGATGGCGAAAGCTCATCAAACACCAGTGGTGCTCTTTCCACGTGGTCACCATCGCCACCACGGCCGATGGGAGAGTGTCCAAAAGAGGCAGTGCGTCCTAGACCCACACTACGTGGAATTCCCAAGTCCAATTCACCGGTCGCCCGATACACAAGAGGATTCCATCTCCCAGTTGCCGATTTGTACACGAGAGGATCCCATTGAGAGGAGTCGTAACTGGAAGTCTCAGATGGGCCAAGATGTTTTTCGGTCTGAGTTAAGAGCCTGTCGATACCCTTTGTGTCGATTGCCGCCCTTGCACTCGCGGTGATGCTTGACCACTGAGAAGTAAGTAGGGGTTGAGTTGAGCTGTCGAAGGAATTGCGGCGATCCTCTGAAAGAAGACTCCCATCGGCTTCTACTTGCTTTCCTTCACCGGCTGAGGTTCTTGCTCCAAACAGTTTCACGTCAAGGTGCAAGGGCCTGGTTTTGGGTCCAGTGACATTCGTGCTAGCCCTTCCAGAAAACGAAGGACGATATCCATGAATAGTGGCGGGCTGATAGTCGTAGTCTTCATGGTTACTTGGTATACGCACACTGGAGTACCGTCGTTCAAGATCGTAAGCGGAGGACATCCCGTACTCCTGAGACCAGCCTTGTGTTAATGGAGACGAGGTCGAAGCAGCAGAGTGAGTTTGTGCGCGAATGTAGGCATCCATACGGCCACTCGGTATCATCATACTGTTATTGTTCTGCCAGGACCACTTCGGATCGGTTTGTGGTTTCAAGCAGTCGCCCCCATCTTGAGAAACAGGGCGTCCACGTGTATTACTGTCGACATACGAGCTCTTAGGCGCAGGCAGGGCAGGTTGAGTCTTCGCTACGATAGGCTGACCGTGGTAGTCAAAAAGATTCCCCCAGAATTCCTCTAAGATGAAAGCAAACTGACGTCGTGCAGCTCTTCCTAACCCGGACAGCCTCGAAAGGCTTCCACTTCCACTTCCACCCCCGCTACCCTCACTAGTGTCACTTCGCACACTCCTTCCCGACGCAGGCCCATCATACGGAAGAGCATTTGCACTACTATTCACATTCGAAACTAGCGATTCTGCTACAAGTACATCATCCTGTTCCAGGTTCTCCCAGGTGTCCAGTTCTTCCTCATCTTTACCAAGGATATCTGTGTCGGCATCTGCTTCCGCTTCGGCTTCCTTCAAAGCATTCGCCTCTCTATCTTCAGCTGTAGGTACTTCCATCATACTGAACGGCGTAACTACATCGACATCCCTCGGCTCGCACTTCGGAGGAGATGTAGCCAAGGGAGATCCAGCTACGGAAGAGGTGCTTGGTGAGGACAACGGATCCAAAATCGAGAAGTCATCACAGCTGCCTGAAGAGACCACTTGAAGACTCTCCTCAGCAGCTTTGGGAGGATCAGGGGTTTCATCCTGATCTAATACTGTAGTTACATCCGGCATCGATTCTTCGCTGTCGTGATGGGAACTAGAATGGGGAGGTAAATCGAACACCACAGGTTGCACGTGTTCCTTTGGCTCCTTCTGCTCCTTCTGCTCCTGTTCCTTCTGTTCATTTAGCTCCTTTTGTTCCTTCTGCTCCTTTTGCTCCTCTTGCTCCTTTTGCTCCTTTTTCTCCTCTTGCTCCTCTTGCTCCTTCTGCTCAGTGTAAACCTTGGCTTCCTTAAATTCTTTTGGATCCTTGTACTCCTTGTAGTCCTTGTGATCTTTGCATGGAAAAATAGCATCTAGGATGGATTGCGAGTCCTCATAGATATCGGCCGGGGTCACTACAGCTAGTTGACTGTATTCGGCTTCCTTTCGCCTCTCGTATGCTTCGTACCACATAGTGTTGCTAGGATACTGAGTATCCATCTTCAATGGAGTAAAAATCATCCAAACCAGAAAACCAAGTGACAAGGTCAATACCACACAGATAGTGAAAAACAAGACGCCTTGCAATGACTCGCCCCACATACCCTGCACCCACTCGAAACCTGCAAGGTATTCCACAGCAAAAGCAGCCCCCTCCTCTGTTTCCCCAAATACCATATCCAAGACTAGCCAGACGTTTACGGCACAGATTGCGGTAAGTGACAGCCAGGCTAAAGTCTCAAACAACCACGAGTTTTTATGTGGCCCCATTATCCTTTCGGACGAGGTAATCTTGATGAGAGGAGCAAGAGTGAAGGGGAGCTGCAGGGCCAAAATGACTTGAGAAAACACAAGCATTTGATACGTGCCCTCGTTGCCGTATTTCCACACGCAGATAGTAGCTGGAACTAATGCTATGCCGCGGACAACCAGTCGATGTAGCCAAGGATGAATCTTATAGCTGAGAAACTCCTCAGACACCATCTGTCCTGCGGTACTCCCAGTCAGTGTGGACAATTGCCCCGCACACAGAAGTGCTACGCCAAATGCTGCGGGAGCAATTGAGTTGTTAAGAACCTGCGAAACAAGAAGACAAAGGTAAATGTGGGAAATTTCCCAAAGAGCTTTAGCAAACACATGATTGATACATAAGCCTTTCCCTCAGACGGAATAGAAGCCGATTCAGCAGGCGCTTAGTCTACACAGAGGCCAGCCTCGTGGCGCTTGTAACACATTCACTAACGAAGTTCATACAACTGTGCATGGCATTGTAACGTTTCTAAACATCAATAAATTCACTTAAAGCACAGGACTTAATTCTACTATCAAACCAGTCTTAGTCCAAATCATGCGCTATCCTTATTCTGCCAAAAGCAACCGCTGGAAACTAATGATATCCTGGAAGGCCTCGTAATATGTTCCAGGAAAACTATCTGGGGTCCAACAATATCTTTACTATGTCGTAGGCGAAGTCTTGAGATCGAAAGCCAAACACGGAACTTGGAGATCGGGTACGATCTCATTACCTGCTCTATAAGAGCCTGAGCGTCTTGGAGTGTGAGGACCGGAAGGCCAGCATTATGGAACGTGGTAACAGCAACAATCAAAACAGTCATATTCACCACCAGCACTGCGCTAAATGACGATAGAGTGTCCAAGAGATGGTAATGACAGGATGTATCTACTGAATCACTCGCCTCAGACTCTCCCTGCGTTCAGAGAAATAAGTCCGACGTTAAAAAATGTAAAGAGGGCGTACAAACTCCCAGTAAATGTAGGGAGTTAGAAGAAGCACGTCAACTGTTCATGCATCCACTACACACATTACTGATTCATAACACTTACTTGCACAAGAGCTGAGTGGAGGTAGAAGTTGTGGGGCATGACATTGGCACCCAGCAGACTGATTGCCGTGTACAAAGTTTCGTGTCTAAGCCTAGGGAGCATTCCGACGACCATCGTCAAAGGTGGTGGGCTGGTAAGGATGCTGTCTAGCAAAAAGCACAGCAATACCATCCCCACGACGAAGACAGTGACCACTTCCGCCTTGCGTATTTCCTGGAGAGGTCGTGAACCGGGCAGAATTAGCCAGAAGAGCTATAAAGCACTGGAGAAACATGATTTGAACACAAAAGAAAACCGATTGTTTTGACTTACCATGAGTGGCAGGATAATAATGAATAATAAAGAATCAACAACCATAAGAAAGAGACTTGGAAGTATAGGCATCCGAAGTACAACATTGAGACCAATAGCTGTCCCCAAGACCTGCAAAAATACCGTCAAGACTCAGTAAAAAACGTCAGATTGACAGCCTCGCGTTAAAAGCTTGCAGTGCAATCCAAAGTAAAACATACTATGGAGAGTAGGAAAATGAAAAATTGCTTCGCTAGCTTGAGAAACTTCTCTCATGATGCACTAGAAATTCCGCCAAAAAATAAATAACATCGATGTATGGGGAGAACGTATGACACTTAGAACGGAAAGGAGGGCTCGAGAGAATCGACTTAGAAGGTAAAGACTTGTAAAAAGGACATATACATGATACTGAGCCAACCACAGCACCCAGAGTCTGAGGTTTAAGGACGTAGGTATATGATTGATCATAGAAGGGCACACAGAAGTTAAATAACAAGAAGGTTAAACGAACAAGAAGATTGGCTCTCACCAAGCATATATTCACACCACGCATCCACGTAAATTCAGAGCAGGCAATCACTGGACACCGCGAAACATACGGCAGATGGTTGATTGGACTCAAAAATCTAATCTGTGAACAGAATGATAAGGTTCGTTCAGTTATGGGTAAAGTCAAACTACTTACCATCGTCAGGTCCAGTGTTATGATCGAAATTTCACAGAAAAACCACAGGGAAACACATACTGCACGCGGATACTCCTCCCGACATATCTGCATATCGAGAGAAAAGTAAGCTCAGTATCTTGAAGATCCGAATCGTGGACAAGGAGGTTCGCACAATAAAACTCCCAGAATAAAGCACTGTGTACTCTGCAAATGGTCAAAGAAGGTTTCAAGAGCAAGAATCTGCCTTTGAATTGTAGCACATTAAGCTTTAGAACTCAATCTAGAAATACATCACAATTTGCCCTGCGAGTGCAAGGATAAACTAACTCAAGACCAAGACAATCGAAACCAAATTAGCAGTCACAAGCTGCTGCAATGGAACTGGTGACAACGGGGAAGCTTCTCACGAAAATTGTGGGGTCTCTCTGCATTTTCTACATGACTTGGGTCCCGTAAGCACCAAGTTCCCAAGGGATTTGACTTGAGATACTACGACAGAGTACTTGTTCGGACCAAGTTCTCGAGTCATATGATTTATGAACACAACCTAAGCACACTCCGTGGTGGGAATAGAGCCTCCATTTACAGCGGCTATGGATACTAGGAAAGGGATCAAACTGACGCTTTCGGCTCCCGGACACTGCAATCAGCGCAATTGCTTGTGGACTGCATTGCATGGAGGTTAGACTGACAACGCGGACGGTGAATCACAGAGAACAAAAAAGGATATTTATGTGACGGGTATAGCCTTACCTGAGCAAAATGCTTCCCGCTAATCACGGCGAGTCGAGCTGACAGTGTTTGGAGGAGGATCGCTATTAAATTCGAGAGCACCACTACCCACAACAACTCGTAACCAAAACGTGACCCTCCCTCAATGAGTGTCGCCCAATTTCCTGGGTCCATAAACCCTACTGCCACCAGAAATGCCGGCCCGACAAAGGGTACTAACTTCCCCATGTTTGGTTTGGCAGTCCCGTATCCTAAGCTTCACCTTTTAGGTGGTGCGTTTCAAGTCTCGTAGGAATGTTTCTAAACCTTATATAAATCCAGGGTAAATTCAAACTCCACGCGTAGCAAATCTGACTAAACAGGAACTCTCCTTGGTATTCGATTCCTGTTAAACTTTAGTCTGTAAGTAAAAAGGCCTGTTGAAATGGACTGGGAATACAGAATACGTCGATGAATGTTGTCACCAAGATTTCCGGCACATGTCCATGTCGTCCTGGACACCTTTGAAACTGACAATCTCCTTCCTGGCGCTACTATGCCTTGCAAGCCTCCCATCGCTCATGACCCACCGCAGCATCCTTGCACAGACAAACCGCAGGTACTCCAACGTGATGTTCAGCTCCCCCAGACCTTGACAAACTGCTACTGCCTTGGATCGACCTAGCACGACCCCTCTATAATACAAGATGTTCAAATCGTTCGGCTGTCAATGATCGGCTTTCTTCCCACTTTTGCTCTATGCACAATCTGAGTAGCGTTCGCTCCTTGGACTCCAAGACGGGTGACATCAAAGGACTGTTGGGACCATAGTCCTCAGCGTCAAATTCGAACTCGATAAACTGATTCACAAGACTAAACAACCTTCACAGGGGCGTGTTCAATTGCAGCTAAAACAAGTCGTCGAAGACATCTTCATACTCCACGACACACATCCGCGTAGACCTGATCGGAACACAAGTAATTCTTTCCACGGTTACGATCCGATTGGGCCCATTCGGCACAGACCGCGGACAGAGCGAGGACCAAAACAGCAAACCGGAAGAAAGGAAGGCGAGCTATGGAGGCCGAGGTGATAAGCACCGACGACTCGACCAGTGCAACGGAGGACAGACGCAATTAGCCAAACGCGACATATGAGCGGACATGATGGGCGACCTCCGCTCGCAACAGCGGCAAAGTTAGGGCAAAGAGCAGCAAAACGAGCAAGGCACTGAAGTGCAACATCGACCACGGCGGGAGGACAAAGAGCGGAGGAGTGGTCGAGAAGGCTCGAGAAAGCGCGGAAGAGCGCGACTCCGACGAGACTCACCTACAAGCCGAGGGTGGTGAAAAGCAGGTTATGAAAGTGGAATTGCAGGTAGTTCTAGAAGCATAAACGATAGTGTGCAGCGAAATGGCGGGTCCTGTCGACGATGGGGCCGTCCGATTTCTCCGCCATCAGCTACCCTCCTCATTGAGCTCAAGAGAGCTCCATCGGAAGGAGAACCCCGCAGCGCCCAAGTCGACAGCCGCGGCCCGCCTCGGCTCCGTTACAACATTTCGATGCGAGTGTGCACTGCGTCGCTGCGTGCGTGTTGATGATGATGACGGTGCTGTCGCAATCCAATCGACGGCCGAGACCAGGGCTCGGGGAGGAACGCGAAGCTCTTCACTCTTCGAAGACGGTGCCTCGGAGCTGAAAAGAGCACAAGAGGGCAGGCCTCGCTCAAGGCCGCGCGAGATCATTCATTCCTGCAACGCCCAGGGCCGCGACGAGCAGCGGGCCGGACTGCCCTCCAACAGTCCCCTGTGCCATCGCATCGCGCGCTCCAGACCCATCCGCCGGACGACGGATTATTACCCGGTCGCCGGTCGCCCGAAGGCTGGCCGGGCCGGCCCGCTCTGGCAGGCAACTTGCTCCGCACCGGAGATGAACAGAGATCCATTTGGCAGGCGGTGCGCTTAAAGGGAAAAAGCGGCACGAATTAATAAAAAGAACCCGGGCTGAGGCGACCACCCGTCCTTCGTCTGACCTCGAATATACGGTCATCCTTGCCATACGCCAGAGGATGATGGCTCTCGGCGAGCGAGGGCAGTGAGTGAATCGACGGTAGACTCGGGTGCGACGGATGTCAGCGCCGATGGAGATGAGAGGTACGGCGACCGGGGCTGCCCAGATCATATGGCAGAGCGTGTAGCATGAGTACATTGACCGGCGTAAAAGCGGAGATAGCGATAGCGCCGAAGTGCGAGCTGCGGAAAAGCTTGGTGAGGGCGAGCCGCAGGATGGCGAAAGACGCAGCGTCGTTCGTTCTCCATTCTCTCGCTGCTTGGATGGAGGGCCGAGGTCCGGCTTCACTGGCATGCCTACCTGGAAGAAACAGAACCAGCGCAGCAAGGCACGCAGGCCGGCCGGACAAACTCAATGCTACCGGGCTGATCGCATTACGGCATTCGGGAGCCATTTCACTTCACGGCCGCCGCAGGTTGAATCGGACTAAACTTTTTCATTTCATTGCTATCGGACACCCTTGCCTACGTTTGAACAATACTTGATCTTCTCCTCTATAAACTCTACGTATATGATTTACATCAGAAGAAAACTGGACGTAAATATTCAAGCAACATGGATGAAAATGTAATGTCAAATATTACACCCACGGTATAATCTCCCAATTTTGTCACTTGTGACATATTACCTTTATGACATCAAATTCCATAAACATTAGTTTGTAATTAATGAATCTGCCAATAATGTTAATATATTATTAATGTCTATTGTGACATGTTACTATACAACAATAATAAGAACCACTAGTTATCACTCACTTTAGTCTAATTATCACACGCCAGGACGAAGTATAATTAGCCAAGTGGTCTTACAAGTTCTCGATCAAGTACTTGACGGTGACAATAGTTCGAGTCCGGAATGCGGCTTGTAACCAAATAGTCGTCAGTTTGTGGAAAGGTGGAACTTTGAGATTGTCGTCTTTGCATGTTTTGAGATCGATGGAACCTCCGTCTCACGAGACCATCCGGAAACAAGATAATGTCTTCATTGTCAATCCAAATGGAGCCAACGAAAGAACAAGGGATTCATGGAAGAAGCTACTTCCCAAATTGACAACTCGCTTGGGCAACAATTGGAACAGTTTTGAAAAATTCACCGTAGGTACTCAACACGCCACTCAACTTGTGTGGAAGGTCATTTGGGACGGATCGACACTAGTCATTGCAATCGGTGAGATGGAACGCTTCATGAAGTGATCAATGACTTTTTCGAGAATGGAAAGCCCATCGAATCAAATCTCGCGAATTCATTTTTTTCTCTAGAATAACTCTCGGGTTTATATCCATGGAAACGGCTATGACTTTGCTTGAATATTTTGCTTTAATAGTGATCCCACTAAAGCCATAGATCGGCTTTAGGTTATAGTAGATTGAGTTTGAAAGGCAATTTGGACTACAATAGCTTCATGTTCTTGGCGAATGTGCACCTAAACTGATAACACGTACTTGGCAGACTTGGCTAATTATGACTCATCCTAGTATGGTAGAGTGAGAGATAATTAATCTAAAGTGAGAAACAACAAGCCGCTACCATAATAATAAAACCATAATTGTGTTGTTCTAATGCAAATTGACAATGCTAACATCATCAACATTTTAGTAACCAAAAGCATCGAGATTATTCATTTCAGATAAATCAATTGTAACTTGTTCAATATTTTGTCATCAATATTCAATGACGTTATAAAAGAATCATCCAAATAAATTTTTTACAAAATTTTCATTGAATTTTTGACGGTTTGACTTGAACTAGATTGATTGATATATAGATCTTGATAAAAATGAGGATGGAAACAATATGAAAACAACTGACTTTAAGTAACCATCATTTAGTAGTATTCTACTCAATTTCATCAAATGCTAACTTGATACAGTCAAGCATATTGCTCACATGTGTATAATCATTACTCATATTGTAAAAATCAAATGCATTTTTATTTTCTTGCCAGATTTTAAACTTGGACCTTACATGATTGAACACAAAAAAGACGTGTTTTGAAAGAACAAATGATTTCTTGATCGACAGATTGGCATTTACTAATAACATTTGATAAAAAAAAAGTATGCATTAATTTCCATTTTGAAAAAATGTCTTGTGATTAGAATAGATTCAAGGTTTTTGCTTTACACATAAGATGAATAGTTGTCTTAAAGTATATTGAGAATGAAATTTTTATTTTTTTGAGATGTTGTTGTACTTGTGCAACTGAAGCATATAGTACAATGAACCTTAACACACTTTAGGTTGATCATTATAGATGATTTCGAAAGTTTTATTGCTATTTGAAATAATACTCAAATCACATAGACAAGCATTAATAACTTGTGTTATATTATTCTAATCCGGAATGCTAACTCTGAGGATTATAGTGATTTGTTCTTTGTTTTGTTTAATACTTCAGACATTTGAGTTGATTACATAATATGATCACGATGATATTTTCTAGCCATCTATTCAATGCCAAAAATGCCGAAAGAGAAAATATATTTGATGGTTTAAAAGATTCCGCAAATTTATACATAATCTTGTTTCAAAAACATATAGTTTTGTTTTTAACAACTCGTCAAAAAAAATTAGCATGTACGCATTGATCTCAACACATTTTGTCATTGATGCCTTACGCTCAAGTTATTTTGTCTTTCGCCCCGTCCGCCTCAGGTTGACTTTCTCAGACCCCGGCTTCCACCTGCCAGCGCGATTTGCATGGATGGTAGCTTTGCTTTGTTGCCCCAAATCCGCAAACCCGATTTTTGGCCATAATGCCGCTTAATTAAGGGTAGCTTATTGCTATAACAACCCCGACTGCAAGCTTTCAAGGTTGACGATATACGTACACTGTTTGTCAGTCACCGTCATTATTATCCGGTTTCGCACTTACTGTCCAAGACAAAATCGCCCGGCTTTTCTTGTGACGTATTTCTTGTTGATGGCGATGGCGGATCGTGCTAGTTCAGAGGCAGCAAGAATTAAGAAGCGAGAAATCGGATTGCTCAAAACTCGATTGGATCGGTGAACTGTGTGAAAGTTTAATCTAGTTTGCATCTTGTCTGATTTCCTGAACATAGAGAAGAGCGTAGGGAGAAGATCGGACTTCTAGGTTGCTGAGAACCGAAGCTGAGTCTTCTAAAATCCATGGACGTGTCAAATCGCGATTATTGTATTAAGTGATAAGCTTCGACTTAAACGAAGATAATCAGCAATAATCAGTCGTGAAGATGATAGTTACAGTGGGATCTTGAAAGTGTGTATTGAAAAAATGTATTTGATGGTTTAAAACATTCTGCAAATTCATACATAATCTTGTTTCAAAACCACATAGCTTTGTCTTTGAACAACTTTTCAAAAAAATTTAGCATGTATGCATTGATCTCAACACGCTTTGACATTGATGCATCATGTCCGTACAAAATTGCACTTGAGTTGATATAGAAATTTTTTTAAATTTATATTGATTAGATTTTAATACCATATGTTTGATAATTTCTCTCAACTTCCATATTTTGAAAATTTTTGACATGGTGTTAAATATTATGATGTTGCTTCCTCATGAATGGTTCCAAGTTGATAAAATTCATTGAAAAACGTCACTAAAATTTGATAATTTTCTATGAAGTAATCAGAACATTAGTTAATTTTTGTATATTAAAAAAACTCATGTGTTTTGTTATGTTTGATGCATATAATCAAATGTGTGCACACAAAATTTAAGATTTTAAGAAGTATTCCAAATAAAACATTATAATTGTTTGTGTCAAAGGAATTTGATAAATAAGTTTTTAAATAATTAAACAAATCTGTGTCATACAATTATTAAAATAAGAATACACGTATCATTAAAAATAAATATTAAAGCATTAAAAATGCGTTATTTGATTTTATTCTATCAGCACAAAAAAAACATCATATTTGTTGATTAATTAATTTTTCTCAAAACATAACTCATCATAACTAATTCAATTTTGATTAGAAAATCATATGATTATAGATTATTCATCGTCATTGCACATATAATGATTTATTTAAGAAAATATTCAAATACTTATTATTTCAAATTCTTCATAGATCTCTCAATGCATCATCCATTTTGATAATTTACAAAAATAATGACATATACTCATTAACAACAAAAAAATATATAGATAGAATTTGTTGAATAATTAGATAATGGATGTGTTATACTGTAAATTTATAACAATCGAGTTATATTTCTAGCCAAATAATGATTTTCTGATTACTAAAAACGTTTTTCATATTATTTTATTTAAATTAAATTAAATTTTTAAAAACTAATAGATATTTATTTAAATATGCTATGTATATTTAATTGAATTTTTTTTAAATAAATAATATGAACTGACTACAATGTTATCATCCATTCTATTGTTCTTATTTATGGCAATATAAGCTTAAAGTATAAATTATCGGATTCTTTGTATAACAATTACATACCTCCTTATATTCTTGGCATTTTTCTGTATTATAATTTTTTTTAAAATAAAAAAATCAATATAATTTATTTATTTGTTATGAATTTATATAGAATTTATTTTCGAACAAATTTAAATTTTTTTAGGACTTATGATTTGCATATTATTTTCAAAAATTAAGTTTAAGTAATCATTCATTATGATTTTTTTACTAAATGAGTAAAAAGATAAGATACTATATACTTTAAAGCAACATGTTGAAAAATATAGATGTTTCAATATAAACTATAAATATTTTTAGTTCTGTGAGTTATATAAGCTTATGA